ATTGACAGTAGTCTCTGCGTGCCAGAATTGGTTGCATTTGTTCCAGCGTGTTTGCAATTCTTTTCGTGGCACTCCGTGCGAACTGAGCGCGGCAGTGGTGGATCGAGAAAAGTGGCGCGGGGGCATGACTTCTTCCGAATAGTGAGTGAGTGCGATTTTTTGTTTCTGGGCACGCCAAATTCTGAGATCATCAGTCCCGTAAATGAAGTGCATTTTGAATCTCGGGAGGTGGCGGTGGTACTCCCCCACCGGACGTGAGATGTGTCTCCGAACTACCACCTTCTGGGTATTTCTATCTTTCAGATATTTCCGCCAGCGGGGCGTCGTTCCACACGTATCAAATTCTAAGTTCCCGACTCGTCTCCTGTCATGTGTGGTAGTATAGTGCACGTGTGTGATGTGATGTGCTTATGCGTGCGTGTGTGTGTAAGGTGTACGACAAGTAAGAGGAAGGAACGTTGGCGCGCGGCTCGTGACCTGTTTGTGTGCGTCCTGTTCCGAAATTCGCCTGTTATTGATCCGAGAAATTACGGAAAATTTCTGCCGAAGCCGTCGGTCGCTAAAATTCTCCTCCAGACAGTTCTGGAATTAGACCACTGGAAACCCTCTACCGTAGAGATTGGACGTGAAACATAGAACCTCCCGGCTGACAATACACTTGCAACTGGAAACTGCCTGGGCGGAGGCATTAAAGATTTTGGTTAAAAGTAACACTATTTACTGCGGTAAGTTGCCACAGTATTCAAAGTCATTATCTAAATTCTTTCCCAATAACATTAGTATATGTACCGTATTCAAATGAAATGAAAGGTATTACATTTTGAATTTTTGATGGTGCGAAAAGGAGAGTTTGGCAAGGTATTTTGTTTTGTTTTGAGTCTATTGTTTTGATTATTTTGAAATGAGCGGTTACATATTACACGTGCTATCCGCTGTTTAGTATTACACGAATACGGTTGCAAATTAATTGATAAAAGTGAAAACCCTCCTGCGAAATGACGAAATATCACAGAATGAATTATTAATAAATAAACAAAAGGCAATCACGCACAATCATGTGCAACAAAATAAAATTAACAATGCACAAGTAAATTTAGTGATTGATTTAACTTATTAAATTATAATAGAAAAATTAAAATTTGTCCTCATTAAAATTATTCAGATTAATTATTCAGTGACTTACTACAAGCGATTATTAAGTGCACTTAATCGCAAGGCACAAAGTAATAACAGATCGGTGATTCCGGCGTTGGAGCTCATGTGGTGCCATCCGTTAGATCCTGCGTGGCGGCGAGTGACGGCTGACCAGCGGCGAAGTTCCAGTTGATGGTAGTAAAGGTGAAAAAGCAGCAATGCCATTATATTGCGAGTGTAATCGGCTAGAGAACATATGTTTTGTTCCAGTTCCGCAAGCACAAGTCGGAGGTTAAAAAAAAATAAAAAAAAGGAGCAGTTGTGATTTGGATGTGTGGTTGTACGCATGAGCACCTGAATTATGAGTATGTTTTATTTTCAAAAGCACTTTCAAAAGCATGCTCGTGGTGTGTGTTCAGCAGAATAATTTTAAGACACAATTGCGCTTGGATGAATTGTGATCCCGTGTTGGCGAATCATGTTTCGGAAAATATTGAAATAAACACAGGCTTCCGGAATCACACGGGGGCTCCATTACGTCTGGCAGACGACGGAAACGGCGAATACATAACTATTATTGCAATTAAATGTTGAATTTAGCTACCTAAGTTAGTCAAATATCTATAACATTTCTGAAAAATTTTCATTTCAAGATTCACAGAATTTATTGAAAACGTTCGGAACTTATTTGTAACAAAACTGCATAAAATAATTTATTGGTATTTGGTACTGAAAAGTAGAATATAAAAATCGCTTTAATACTGCAGAAAAAATTAGTAGATGAGTAGAAACTGAGGATTACCCAGTGGCGTAAGTAGCCCTTCCGAACTCGGGTTCAAAAGGTACGAGGAAATTGGGGCCCCTCCAAAAATGTCCAACTAGAAAAAAGGCTGCTGAAAACTAATCTCTAATGAAAAGTTCCAAATTACGTATAATGAAACTCAGAATAGGGCCCCACAAAACTTTAATTGTTGCAATAAATAAATGAAGTCCCCCGATGTCAAATTACAAATTTGGAAAACATCTTCGCGTCCTCATAATAATGTACGTAATTCAATCTTTACACTAGTCTATGGTAATAAACAAATCGCTTTCAGAAGGAGCCTTTTAAGTATGTTCATTTAGACAAAAATTAATTTTGTCTCCCTTTGGTCCGGGGGTTCCAGGTAATTGCTTACCTTTTCAGTTCCTTAATGGTAGTACCTTCTCTTCTTAGAATTTAACCTCGTTCCCCTGCTTCATTGCACTTAACTGGTCACTTTTCCTGGGTAGGTTTCCTTAGTTTTGTTCACGGTAGTCCGTCTCACTGAAAACCTTATCGCAAGCTTTCTATATTTTGTTTTTCTGACATCTTAAAATACTTTTATCTGACAAGATAACAGATACGAAAATAATCCAGGATTATCATATCATCTAATACTAAATAAAATAAATTATGAACGACTATGCGATTGTGAGTGCGCGAGATTAGACGTGCTCACAGCGGAATGTAAGTCTGTAGATATTTATTAGATATCTTATATTAGGAATCGAGGAATTTTACTGGACTAGTTTTAAAATAAATACTTATTAGTTCAGCTAATCGAATGCGAGCACAGTTGAATCTTTTGTAACATTCTAAATTACATCAAGTTCAGGATCTCTCTAAGCAGCTTCTTATCAGATTACTTACATTCAGATTTCATGAAACTTCACAATTTGGAGTTTACTGTTTCGGCCATTCTCTGCTCTTATCCAGGATGCTTCATTATTGAATTGGCGAGTTAATTATCCCCTATAACTGCATATTCTTCCCCAGTATGGTAAATAGTTTATTTTGTCATAGATTCTTAATTTCGTAAGGTCTGGTAGAAATTCTTTCTTCAGTAGAAAATAAGATATTCTCTTTTTTGTGATTTTCACACTAAGCAGTTTCAACGGTCTCTGCTTGAGCAACCCTTGCCCCCAGCTCCACTTCTACCACAACTTGTAAAATGGGAACTGAACAAAACGTGCGCATAGTGAAGCTATATTTAGTGAAATCGGGAGTAATGTGGGTCACTTTTTGTTTTTTCAGTATAAATTTAGTATAAGTACGAATTGTTCCTATGAACAAGTATGTGCTTTTATATTACATATTAGTTATTAAGCTTCACCGCAAAAAATAATACAAAAATCACTAAAACCCTCTCATACATTGAAATTTCAAAAAATTGAATTTGGCTCCTACTACCCTCACATGCGGGTAGCCGGGGACACTAAAGAAATATGAAGCATGAAATATGAATTAACACATTAGTACTTCAAACAGTATTTATTTTATTTACAATAATTCTAGGCGTCTATGGTAATGTGAGTCCCAAGGTTGTCCAAGATCAGCAGAACTGGGTCCTAGGCTGTTGGTCAAGTAAGGCTTTTATATTGTTTGAGCCATTTCATGAATTCTTCATTCGTCCAGCCATTCTTGCTAAATGTGTAAATAGCACCAGGGAGTCATGTAAATTAATTCATATCAATAAATTATTTTGTTTGGGACAATAGCGGTCACGCTGCGATAATGAGAACCCCTGAGCACTATTACCCCACAAACACATTTTTATCATTACTACTAATAAACTTTTATAGAAAGTTTAAAATTACTGACAATTGGTATCAACAAATTTCTTCCAACATATCCTTCCAACACATTTTAATTCTTCCAGAAATCTCCACGTTCACGTGTGTAAGACCTTATTTTCTGAGAGTATGCTAGAGCATTAACCACTCATTTTCCTGATAGGAACGCGATAATGTAACCCTTCTTTGTCTGCGGATTCAACTGGCTATAGTTATCGTGACTAATAGTATATAGAAGCATATGTTTCTGCCTTTCAATATTCTTTTATTAAAATATTTGTCGATAACTTACCGCTGACTCCCATTACCCCCGCTTCCCCTATACCTAAACCAAAAGGCCACCTCAGCAATTCCTCAACGTATCTCAGAAACTGGACGAAAACCTGATCGAGATAGGAGTTATTGTCCAAGATGCTGCAGTACATTACTTGTACAGGCACATGAAGTATATTTAACATTAAACAATACAAATGTAAACTAGTGCATTATAGTATATCATTGTTAAAATTACTATTATTTTTATTATTGATGGTCAGTAAGGTCTCTAATTGTATACAAACAGTAAAACAGTAGTATTTTACGTTGTCCTTAAACTTGTGTATCGACTTTAATTATTTAATGTAATCTAGAATATGTTGTTAAAGTATCGTGGAGGTATGATATGCAGATTTCTTGTAGTGAACTGTTGATATTTAGACCTGATTTCTACGACGTGTGTTGTAATGGAAAATATCGGTGTTGCATGAAACATTTGTCCATCGGTAAGTACGTCAGTTTTGACAAAAACTACAAATTCGTAAATAAATACATAATGCAGTGGTAAAATTCCCAGCTCAACGAGAGAGCAGAAATTGGCTGCATTTTCTAATTATTCGTACCGTATTTTTCTCCAATCTTAAAGTCTTGAATACGAAAGAATAAGCTTCCCAAGAATATAATGCCATATCTCAGGTGGGAATGTACATTTTGCAAAATACACGCAACGAGCTGTATGAACTCTGACTGAATATGAGGGGATTCTTAATACCGTAAAATAATAAAATTAGTTTAGTGTTCAATTCAGTTATGTCGATATTTCCTAGTGTCACCTTACATCGAGGGGGAAATAACCACGTTTAGTGTCATTCTACTCTCTTTCGCGAGCAGATTACCTTGCTAGTCTTGCTCGACCTTTGTTATTTCTCAGTACTATTTTTGCATTTGCTATTCAGTTTAATATTTTGTACTAATATCAATTACTTTTTAACAAAGTTTTCTCGTTTGTTTTCTAGAAATTGGATTTGTCTAATAATAACTTACAAAGCATAACGCCATCCACTACATTTCCTCACTGTTTAATGCATCTGAACATGAGCTGGAATAATATGAAGTACTTAAGTTCCGAATTTACAGAATCTATCATGAATATCTCTGAAGTCATGTTGAATAATAATCCGTGGGAGTGTGATTGTCATCTAATGGAAACATGGCAGTGGGTTAGAAATGTAACATCAGAGGTTAGTAGAATGAAATACTTAGTATAACATAATATACTATAATAATATATAGGTCCGGTATTGTGCGAGATATATATTCCTGGTATTGCTTAATGTTGGGATTAAATTGCTGTAAATTGCTACTGAAAATCAGATAATCCCTTTAGTTTAATCTTAAAAAAATAGGTGAAGTTTTACGCTTACATCGCACACATGTAAGAACTTTTGAATGTTGATCAGATCAGAAAAATCCTGCACATATGCACTATGAAAAATCTAAAAACTCAAAAATATTGTTTCGTGTTTCTTACTACTAATTTTCCATGAATAATCTCTTCTGTAATCTCTAACTCTACAGATCTTGAAATAATGTCATGTAAAGTTTTTCAAAAATGCATAGCGTCATAATAGCCACATATATAAAATTCACGTGAGTCATTTTCGCGTCGTAACTATGTTTGAAATAGGCAATTTTCCTCCTATATTTTCACTCTCGGGACATAAAAACATCGTAACACTTTTAGTACATTAATAACTATTGTAAACAAGCTGGGGTCTTTGGTTGTTGTTGTTATTGTTTTTTTTTTGGAACGGATTGCGTCTTCTATTGGGTACATACGTATCAATGTTTGCTACAAGCTACCAATATGTGAGAAATAGAGATGACAGTGAAAGACTAGGAGAGGAGAAGGATCATGTAACATTTCTCAGTTATTGCAAAGCATTATAGTTCTGCGAATTCTTTGACATTTCATTTTGAACTAATATGACTTTACATTTTGCAGGTAACATTTGAACTCTTGTGCGTTGACCGATTTTCAAACCGATCATGGAACGAAGTCTTCGAAAATGAAACATGTGAAATTTTTACTAGCATTGTTCCTACTGTTACTACCACTGAGGAAATTATACCCACTGTTGTTGACGTTGCTATCTCCGCAGAAGAAACCGAAGTAATAACTGAAGACTCTTTTACGGAAGAAATAATTTATCGTGGAGAAGCAAGTGATATTGCACATAATCAACTAGTTCATGTGATTATTTCTAGCAGTGCCATATTGTTATTTCAGATGGGGTTGTATTTCTCGATTTGGCGGAAATTTAAAGGTAATTATATTTTATTAAATATATAAATCTAAAATGTCAAAGAGTACTTACGTCTTTATTCTGTTGAGAATTTTGAAATAGAGAAACTTCTACCTATATTTCAACCCATTCAAGTTCTATTTTGATTCCTGAATGGGATGCAATACAAAATTATTATGATCTTAATTTGAAAAAGTATTTTTTTCATTTTTTGATAATGCATGATATATTACTTTCTATCGGAACTTTGATACGTAACACCAACCTATCTATTCGTCAGCCAGTTTGACCTATTCAAACTCTACTGTATCTATCTCAGTTCTTTTTAATTTATTGTGAAAAAAAGTAAAAACAGTATGTGTCGTGAGAGGAGTATAATCTACACATGTATTCTTGAACTCCAAAATCCTGACCCATCTGTTTTACTATAAATAGTTGAATTATGAATAAAGGTACAAACAAGCATAAATGCCTCCATTAAAAAAAATAATTTTTGCTCTTGAATAATCGAACACATATTTGCACCTTTCAACGAACTACAGATTTAATTTTATAGTATTACTGACACAATAACACCCTTCTACTCTCGCAACTAGCAAAAGGGGAGCTCAACAAAATGTATGGTTATTGAAGGTAATTTCTGCCTAGAAGCAAAACAGGCAAGTCATCTCAGCATTTATTCAATAGTGCAAGGGCAACTGGACGAAATATCTGATCGACGGGGGTCATTGCTCCAGAAGCCAAAGTACCTTGCCTTATCACAAGTATACTTCTTACATGTTATGAGATTCTGTGGCATATTCATGTTACCTTCTTACAATTACTTCGATTTTTAAGATACGTTTTGTGTTTTATTCAAGGTGAATTGTAATATTATTATTATTATATATTAAATTATTCGGGATATTTAGAATAGAGACGGGTCCTAGAATCAGTGGCATTGCATACATGTTTCTTAGGAGGAAAAATGAAGTAAATTGCTTAAAGTACTTTATATTCAACATACAACAAATTGGATTAAATATGTCGACTTGCAATCGGCTGAAAAGGAAAGTTCTATTAGTTCGGTTTTCCCGTGGCTTTCTTCACACCGCATTCTAAGATTTCTTCGACCTGCTGCTCTGCCTACGTCTCACCCTTGCCTATCAGAGTTAGTCATGATTCATTGCCCACGACGCATTCTTCCGATTCACAATCACGCTACTAGATGTCAGTTCAAGGAAGTAGATTTTCCTTTTCTGACTTAATACTTACTTAAAAAAATTTTCCTCTTCCCTCCACAGAAGCGCTGTGTCAGGGCGATTAACACACAAGAGGAGGAAAGACCAAGTGTTTCTCCTCAGAGCGACATTGATTGTAAGCGATTCCACGTCACTTAAAACCGCGCGTAGGTTAAAAACTCGATCAAAATACATTTATTTCCTGGTAGTTATCAACTAAACAGTTTTCTTTTCCTCAAACATCAAAGCAAATATTTTATTTGGTAATTACATAATTAGAAAATTAATGAGGAATTCCCCCCCTCCCTTGAGAAACAAACACCGCATAGAATGAATTCAATTCAATATTAATGACGAATAGGGATGAAGGGGAATTGAGAACTTAAGTAGTTTACGAGTAGTATTAAACTATTATAATAATATCCTGTAAACAATGTTGAAGTAATTTGAAAAATGTACAATGCGCTATTTCTTATTGGTATGGCATGATAGTCTGGAATATTTTGTTTTGTAAATTGGAAAATATCATAGAGAAATCTCAATGTTAAATTTAATCCATACAATTTTTACGTCCTCGATATTACATCGTTAAGATTGTACAACTGAAGAAAGATAAAGACAAGAATTTGCGCATTTTATTGCTTAAAGTTTAAGAATATGCTTCAATGCTATTTCGAGAAAGATTTCTCAGATAGAAAGACACCATAACCCATCCAAAATTACAAATATACCTAATCGGTGTAAAATGTAGTGCTACAGAACGACATCTTGCAGTATATTTCAGTGGTTTTTGTGGCGTTCAATTCGGTTTCGCAGTGTCAGTGAGTAGAGGTAGGTAGGTAGGTGGCAATCTCTTTTGCATGTTTGTGTAAGAAGTTGGTCCACGCACATGCCCGAGAGCAATCCCACGCTTCGGAACTCGAGATCTGCGTCTGCGGAAGCAGGAGGTTTACATTTCGCTGGTCGCGACGCGTGTTAAGCATGTACTTGGTAGTTAGGGAAAAGCTGTAAGAGCTTAGTTATTCACTGTCATCCTAAAATAAATTCACTATCGTACTAAAATAACTGAACAAAAATGCAAATGTATTACGATGACCACTCAGGCGTTGGAAAAAACGATTTAAACACCATGCAATCTTTGTGTAAGTTGAAATCACTGCGGACCACTGCGTGTAAACTCCGTGAGGCGTCTGCATTGCACTGTTGACGTGCCACCTTAGAACAACACCATGAAGCACAGCTTTTACGTTGTATATCATAACTGTAGAGTGCACCACAATGGCGCGACTGGCTTTTCGATGGAACCTTTCGCAAAAA